TCAATTTTATTTCTGTTTATTTCATCTGATGTGGTCCATGTGTATAGTAGTCTTTAATGTTGTTTAAAAAAGGCATTTGCAATGAAGTAGTCATTGGTTTTGCAAAATTCTATCATTCGATTTTCAACCTTATTTCTGTCACCAAGGTCATATTTTCCAACTACTGATCCTTCCTCTTTGTTTCCAACTTTGTATTCCAATTGCCAGTAATAATTAATACATCTTGATTGCATGTTTGATCAATTTCAAACTAAAGAAATTGGTACAATTCTTCAATTTCATCATCGCTAGTTTTAGTGGTTGGTGCATAAATTTGAATAATAGTGGTATTAACTAGTCTTCATCGTGGTATTAACTGGTCTTCCTTGTAGGCATATGGACATTTTCCTATCACAGACAACACTATGCTTGAAATGTTCTTTTTGATGATGAATATGATGCCACTGCTCTTCAATTTGTCATTCCTGGCATAGTAAACCATGTGATTGTCAGATTCAAAATGACCAATACCAGTCCATTTCAGATCACTAATACTTGGGATATTGATGTTTATGTGTTCCATTTCATTTTTGAAAACTTTCAATTTTCCTAGCATCATACTTCATACATTCCATGCTGCAATTATTACTGGATTTTAGACCTGTTTCTCCTCATTTTGGGTTGTGTCCCATCAGAAGATGAAGGTCACCAAAGCTTTACTCCATTTGCATCATCACAGTCAACTCTACATTACAAATGTAGCTCTTCCCCAGTCGTATTCTGAGTGACTTGCAACCTGACGGGCTCATTTTCCCACACTATATCTGTCAATGTTCTAATGCTCTTCATCATGTTTTAAAATTCAATATTTTGGAACTGTCCGACAGTGTTCCCCACTGCTTTTCATGACTAAATATTCAAAAGTGGTCCGTATCTCCTTCTTAGCCTTAGTCCGTAACCTCATCTGAAACCTGCGCATCCTGGGTGATTTAAACTTTTTAAATATCAGTGGCATAGCTTCCAGAATCACAGCAACATGCAAACCCCACAGTGTGACAAACTAACAGTGGATATATACATATACGTATACGTATACATATACATATAATATACATATATATATTTGAGTGCCAAGGAGTCACTTCCAACCTATAGTGACCCAGTATAGGGTTTCCAAAGAGTGGCTAGTGAGCTTGAACCACCCACTCTGCGGTTCAAACTGACTTTGCAGTCTAGCACATTGGCCCACAGTGCCACACCAGGACTCCGTTGTGCTAATCCATCTCATTAGGGAAATTCCTCTTTTTCTCAGACTCTCCACTTTATCAAACATGATATCCTTCCTTCAGTGAGTGGTCTGGCCTGATAATATGCCTGGAGTATGAGAGACAAAGTCTTTTCATCCTGGCTTCCAAGGAGTACTCTGGATATACTTCATCCAACATGGATCTGTTTGTTCTTTTGGCAGATCATGGTACAATATTCTCCTCCAACAACATAACTCAAATGCATCAATTATTCTATGGTCTTCCTTGCTCACTGTCCAACTTTCACATGCATATGGAGTTACTGAAAATATCATGGCTTGGGGAAGGCACACCTTAGTCCTTCATATTGATATCTTTGTTCTTCAACACTTTAAAGATAACTTTTGCAGCCAGCCGATTTGCCTAATGCAATACATCATTCGATTTCTTGACTGTTCATCTGAGCAAAATGAAGTCTTTGACAACTTCAGTTATTTCTCCATTTATATGGATGTTGTTTATTGTCCCAGAGATGGAGAATTTGTGTTTACTTTACATTGAGATGCAACCTAAATTAAAGGCTGTGGTCTTCGATCTTCATCAGTAAGTATTTTAAGTCCTCTTCAATTTCAACAAGCAATGTTGTATCGTCTGCATGTTAACGGTTGTTAATGAGTCTTCCTCCAATCCTGATGCTACATTTTTCTTCAAATAATCCATATTCTCAAAATATTTGCTCAGTAAACAGATTAAATAAATATGGTGAAAGAATACAGCCGTTGTGCACAACTTTCCTAAATTTAAACCATTTGGTGTTCCCTTGTTCTGTCTGAACAACCTTGGTCTATGTACAGGTTCCTCCCGTGAACAACTTAGTGTTCCTAAATACTCATTCTTTGCAATGTTGTCCATAGCTTGCCATGATCCACACAATTAAAAGCCTTTGTGTAGTCAATAAAGCACAGGTAAACATTTTTCTGGTATTCTCTGCTTTTAGGCAAGATGCATCTGAAGTCAGCAGTGATATCCCTTTTTCCACGTCCTCTTTTGAATCCAGCTTGAACCTCTGGAAGTTTTCTGCCAATGTATGGTTATAGCCATTTTTGTATTACCTGTAGTAAAATTTTACTCTCATGGGATATCAATGATAATGTCTGATGATTTCTGCATTCCATTGGGTGACATCTCTTTGGAATGGGCACAAATATGGATCTCTTCTAGTCAATTGGCCAGATAGTTGCCTTCCAAATTTCTTGGTATAGATGAATGAGTGCCTCCAGTGCTGCATCACTTTGTTGAAAGACTTAAATTTGTATTCAATCAATTATCAGAGTTTTGTTCTTTTTCAGTACCTTCAATGTACCTTGGATTTTTTCTTCAGGATCATTGGCTCTTAATCATATATACTACCTCTTGAAATGTTTGAATATCCACCATTTCTTTTTCATACAGTGACTCTATATTCCTTCCATCTTCTTTTGATGCTTTTGGCAGTTTTTTGCCCATGCTGTTGTTGTTAGGTGCCATCGAGTAGGTACCAACTCATAGCGACACTATGCGCAACAGAACGAAACATTGCCCGATCCTGGGTCAACCTCACAATTGTTGCCATGCTTGAGCCCATTGATGCTGCCACTTTGCCAATCCATCTCGCTGGGGTTCTTCTTCCTCTTGCCCATGTTGTTGTTGTTGTGAAGTGGCGTCGAGTCGATTCCAACCCATAGCAACCCTGTATACGGTTTCTGAGAAGTAGCTGGTGAGCTTGAACCGCCGACTCTTGCCCATAGAATCCTTAAATATCACAAGTCAAGGTTTGAATTTTTTCTTTAGTTCCCTCAGCTTGAGAAATGCTAAGCACATTCTCACTTATAGTTTTCTAACTCCAAGTGTTTGTGCATTTCATTATAATAGCTGACTTTGTCTTCTCGAGCTGCCCTTTGGTATTTTCTGATTACCTCTTTTACTTCCTCATTTCTTTCATTTGATTTAGCATCTCTACACTGGACACCAAGTTTCTGAGTCTCTCCTGACATCCATTTTGGTCTTTCTTTTTCTTTCCTGTCTTTTTAATTACCTTTGGTTTTCTTCCCAGTTTATGTTCTTGATTTCATTCCAAAGCTCTTCCAGTCTTCGGTTATGAGTGTGTAATGCATCAAATCTGTTCTTGAGATGGTCTCTGAATTCAGGTGGTATATATGCAAGGTCACACATTTGCTCTCATGGCCTTGCTTTAATTTTCTTCAGCTTCAACCTGGATTTGCATATGTGTAATTGATGATCTGTTTCACAGTCAGCCCCTGGTCTTGCTTTGGCTGATGATTATTGAGTTTATCCATCATCTCTTCCTGTAGATGTCATTAATATTATTCCTGTGTATTCCATCTGGTGAGGTTCATGTATGTGGTTGAAAAAAGGTATATGCAATGAGTAAGTCACTGGATTTGCAAAACTGATCCAGAATGGTTTCTATCACCAAGGCCATATTTTCTAACCAGTGATCCTAACTCTTTGTCTCTAACTTTTCTTATTCCAATCACACATTAAATGCAAATTTGATCAACTTCATAATGAAGAAGCAGTTAGATCTTTTTAATTTCATCATCATAGGCTTCAGTGGTTACTGTGCAAATTTGAAAAATAGTGGTATTAACAGGTCTTCCTTGAAGGCAAGATGAATCTGGAAATGTTCTTTTTGATGATGAATGCAATGCCATTCTTCTGCAATTTGTCACTACTGACATAGTAAACCATAAGACTACATGATTCAAAATGGCCAATACCAGTGTATTTCATCTCAAGAATGCCTAGGATATCAGTCTTTATACATTCCATTGCATTTTGACTGCTTCTAATTTTCCTAGGATCATATTTCATACTTCCTTTCCTTCTATTAATGAATGCTTGCAGCTGTTTCTTCTCATTTAGAGTTGTGTACCATCAGCAAATGACAGTCCTGAAATCTTTGCTCCATCTACGTCGTTAAGCTAAACTTTACTTTGAGGAGGCAGCTCTTCCTTAGTTGTATTTTGAGTGCCTTTCAACCTGAGGGTCTCATCTTTGGGCACTGCGTCAGACAATTTTCTGCTGCTATTCATGAGGTTTTCAGTAGTTAACCATTCAGAGGTGGTCCAACTCTCCTTCTTCCTAGTCTATCTTAGTCTGGAAGCTCTGTTATAGTCCATTCACCATGGATGATCCTGCTGGTATTTAAAATACCAGTGGCATAGCTTCTAGCATCACAACACTCGATTCACCACAGTCCAACAACCTGATAGATGAGTGGTGGCAGGCAAACTTAGAGTCCCAATTTATGGCACAAATAGACCAAGAAACCTAATTTTTAAAATGCACAAATATGTGTTGAAAGAAGTACATCCAGATTCTTCCTTAGAAGCGAGCATGACCAGACTTATCTCAAGAACTCTGGACATGTTATTAAGAGGGACCATTCCTGGAGAAGGATATCATGCTTGATAAAGTAGAGGCTCGGCGAAAATGAGGAAAGGTTTCAGTGATTGTCACGGTGGCTGCAACATCGGGCTCAAAAACAGCAAAATTTATGAAGATGCCACTTTATCCAGCATTTTTTTGTTTTATTATAAATATGGTTACTAAGAGTCAGAACCAGCTTAAGAGTACCTAACAACAGGTGGCTGATGGTAGGGGATACATATAACACAAGACTTCTCGTTAGAGCCTTAGGAAAGCCACAATTTATTTTAAAAAATCTATTGCATCATTTTTCACTTATTCATTTGCAAGAATCATACTTACCATATCAGTGTCTGACACAGGGCCAAAACTGGTCACATAGATGTCAGTCTTGACTTCAGTCACAGCATCTGAGCCAAAGAAAGTAGAAAAGCAGAGTGTCATGGAAACCTGTTGCCTCACACAGAAAGAATCCAGTGTGATATTCTGAATGACAGCCAACTTGCTACTTTTGAGAAAGGATACTTGGCAGAGTCACAGAAAACCCTTCAAAAATTTCTTACCTATCTTGTTTTCAAGAGCATCCTCTGTATAGGTACACAGTGCAGCACTGAAAATTACAGCAGAATCTAAAATACCAAAGCTAAGGAAGGTGTTTTAGAGATCCCCTGATATTCCCACTTTTGGTTCCCACACTGGGCCTACCCTTACTTGTGGTAGGTTTCAAAATACTCCAATATTTGGTAACACAGGAGGATTGGACTTCCCTGACCTCTTAAAATGCATTGACTGATTCTAGTTGTGGGAGGAAATATTGTGTGCACCTCCCTTACAGAAATATTAATGTTCAATGCAAGACCCTCCCTGCTATGGTGATAATGGAAACACAAATTGATGTGAAAACAGCCTGGAAAGAAGACAACTGTCCTGGAGAGGTGTCTTGATTCACAAAAGATTGCATTGAGTGAGAAATAAATTTTCATTGGGTTATGTGCCAGAAATTTAGAAATGATTCATATCACTTGATATACTCTCTTTGTTCTCATTTTCCTTTATTATACCTGCCTGTTTACTCATCTACTTTCCCACCTAATCAAAGAATTTCTGAAGGAGTGTTCTGGTAAAACATATCTATCCTCAACACACAAAAAAGGGGCTTGTTACTCTACTGCCATTTATAAATGTTTTGGTATGCTGGATTATTCCCATAACACACAAGTATCTAACAAGGTGGAAAATAACACTCATAAAACTAACATTCTCACACTCATGAGTTTCTCTTTTTCTTGCATATGTATGAAGCTTGTTTACTCCATTGCAACCCAGACTACCCACTCAGGCAAGCACGTCATAGATTCAAGACATCACTAGGGCAGCCTAGGAAGGTTCAGTCCAGCATGCCAAACACTACATCATTATAGTAAATGGAAACAAGCCACACTGCAGCCCAACATATATGATCCTGGTAGTACAGTTAACACCAACAAAGCCCACACAAAACATTATGCATGTATAGCATGGACCTGATTACTGATGTCTATATCACTACTTCTCACAGAAAGGCATGAAATGACAGTGAATTACTTCATATGGCTTTTCCATATTTTCACTGGCTAGCCATTCAGAAGTAGTCCACCTCTCCTTCTTCCTAGTCTGTCTTAGTCGGGAAACTCCACTGAAACGTGTTCACCATGGGTGACCCTGCTGGTATTTAAAGTACCAGTAGCATAGCTTCAAATATTAAAGCAACATGTAAGTCACCACAGTATGACAAACTGAGAGACAAGTGGTAAAGCCATAGATTTTGGAGTTGCTATTGTTATGTACACCGAGTTGGGTCCAACTCATAATAATCCTGCTGGTGTGTTTGAACCACCGATCTAGAAGTCAGCAATCCACTGCTTATTTTACTACACCACACCAGGACTCCTACCCAATGACTTGGTGGGACCATGTAAATAAGGTGTATGGTCAGTTTTGTCATCCAACTAAGTCTAAAATGAGCCATCTCAGAAGCAGGAACTGGGTATATCATTACCATCAAGAAAGAAAAGTCTTCGGTGAGGCTCATCATTTGGAACCTGAAATCCCTGCACACTGAACCTCCTTATTACAGGAAACAGAGAGCTATGAACCATAGATATGACGGAAAAACAGTGGCAACACGTGAGAGAGAGAGCACTGGGCTTCCGGGCCCTCAAAACCTCAGAAAAGAGTGCCTTCATGCTAGGTTTAGTGAGACCCATGGAACTAAAGTGGAGTGTCTTCAGGCTGAGGTTTTTGACAGAGTGGTGTGCCCTTTGGACATTTATCAGCAACATTAAAGGAGCCAGAGAGAGAGGTGCTTATGGACACAGCTGGGAAAAGTCATTCCTGACCAAAACTGCTGTATCATGAGTATTTCTGATCCTGAATTGTAACCTGCTAACTTTGGCAAAGAGGACTTAAAGTACTTACTGACAAAGATCAGAGACCACAGCCTTTGGTATAGATTGCACCTCAATGTAAAGAAAACACAAATCCTCACCACTGGACCAATAAAATAGTAATAATAATAATAAATCCATACCAATGAATAAAAGATTGAAGTTGTCAAAGACTTCATTTTGCTTTAATCAGTCATCAACACTCAAGGAAGCACCAGTCAAGAAATCAAACGAAGCATTATATTAGGTAAATATGCTGTACAAGACTGCTTCAAAATATTCAAAAGCAAAACTGTCAGTTTTAGGACTAAGGTGCATCTGACACAAGCCATGTTATTTTCAATAAATTCATCATATACACGTGAAAGTTGGACAGTGAATAAGGAAGACGGTAGAAGGATTGATGCATTTGAGATACGGTGTTGGAAGAGAATATTGAAAATACCATGGAATGCCAAAAGAACAAAAAGATCCTTGTTTGAAGAAGTACAGTCAGAGTGCTCTTTGGAAACCAGGATGGCGACTTTGCCTCTTGTACTTTGAACATGTTGTCAGGAGGAACCAGTCCCTGGAGAAGGATATCATACTTGGTAAAGTGAAGAATCAACAAAAATAGGAAAACCCCCAACGAGAAGGACTGGCACAGTGGCAGGAGCAATGGCTCAGGCAGGAGCAATGGGTCAGGCATAGAAATGATTATGAGGTTGGCGCAGGACCAGACAGTGTTTTTTTTTTCTGTTGTGCATAGGGTTGCTATGAGTCAGTATTGACTTGATGGCACCTAAAAACAATTGTGGCATGGGAGCACAGTGGCTCCATACAATAAGCACTGGACTGAAGACCACAAGTTTCATGGGTTGAACTTGCCAGCAGCTCTGAAGGAGAAACATGAGACTTTTTGCTCCTAGGAAGATGTGAAACCTTGGAAACCCTATTCATCATGGCTATAAGTGGGAACTGACTAGACAGCACTAACAAGAATAGCAACAATTTCCGTAATAAATTTCACAATCATGAGTATTGTCTATGAGTTCTTTGTGTCTATTTCAATGGATTATTGAATTCAGAAAAGAAATAGAGAGTCATGTGCGGTTCCATTTATATTAGAATTAATTAAAAATGTTGGTGGGTTGGGGTATGTCTGACCTCTATCTCATAGGATTCAGTCTTGGCTTGATGTTGAGTTTTATTTTCCTCATCCCTTGTGTAGTCAAAGGAGGTCAAATGTGGCTCTCATTCCTGTTTTACAAGAACATACTACATATGAAGTATATGAACTCTACTCAACTAGCCCTGGTCTCTGACTCATATTTTTTATTTTGTTGTGTTCCCATTTCCCATTGCTTAGGCTTAACATACTGTGCCCCTACTCAGGCACTGATGTGTTTAATACACTCAAGACCACTACTCTCATCTACAAACATTCTATTTTCAGAAGAGACCATGAGTATCATTTAATAATAACACTATAATCAATTCACCAAAAGACACAATTTACATGGCAGAATATAAGATCAACATACAAAAATCAGTTGGATTTCTCTATACCAAAAACG